GGAGGGCCCGATAATTAAAGATTTGAAGGAAGGAGTGGTTAAAATAATAAGGAGGTTCTTTGAGCACGGAGGGATCTTGTACAAAAGGTGGTGTAGATTAGGATTGTTATTGTTATTATTATTATTATTATTATTATTATTATTATTATTATTATTATTATTATTATTTAATGGCTTGGTGGACAAGTTAATATTTAGGGTTAGGAGCCTTAAAGGATTCCCTCTAGTTTATTTTCCTTGGTCTTTATGAATGAAAATATGAATTATATCGTGTTTAGATGTTCTTGAGATTGAGATCTCATTAATATCGTCCCACTCGTACGCTTTCCCTACATCAGTTGGTATCAGAAGTCAGTACGATTCAAGATGCCGTCGCAGAAGGACGACATCGACGGGCGTGACGCCACCATTGTGTATCCGGGCCGACAAGCCATGGGCTTCGGCTGCCAGAACAACCAATTGGATCGTCGGGTTGAGGATCTTTTGACGGGGATCGAAGAAGTGCGTCTTACGATCAACAACGTGGATGAGGATTTGCAAACGAACCGTGACGCCGGCAATCAGGGCGTTCGCGGGGGATTTCACGGAGGACGTGGAGGCCGTGGCCCAGACGGGGCGCCCCGCCGGAGATCTCCCCAACCACCATCCGGCGACGAAAACGGCGAGGATACCATCTCGGAGGTGAATCCCTTCGGCGAGTGGCAACCTCCGCACGTCGAGGCTGACCCCTTCGCTGCATACGGCGACCGTGACATGTGGAGACAGGGCCCGGTCTTCATGGACGGCGACGATCAACGCAGCGATAGGGCTGGCGCGAGGAGGCAGCCTTCGTTGGCGGATATCGTGCCCGACACGATTGGGGACTTAATCGCGAATATGGTAAATAGGAGGGCACGTTTCGCGTTGACATCCCAGAATTCGACGAAGAGCAAGTTGACGGGCCATTGTACGATGGTCCACCGGTGTTTGATGAAGAACCCGAGGAGGTGAAGGAGTGTCTTACCGGTGAAGTGGACAGTCTCTATGAAGGTCCACCGATTTTCGATAAGGAGCCTTCGGGCCCGGAGGAATTCAATCATGTTTCGGGCATCAGAATTCAGCTGTTGGAAGAATTTGGTGTTCGATTGGTAGTTATTCTATTGCGCAGGTCCGAGCTTTTCTCCTACGTGAATTTGTTGCGATCTTGCAAACAGATGTTGTGTTTTGGTTCCCACAGTGACTTCAAAATGATGTGTGTCGCTGCTGCATATATGTCTTTCCATGACTTTCAATGGGGTGATACCATGGGAGTGAGGCATTCAACCTTCGTGTTTGACCGAGGGAAACGACGGGAGTTACTACCAGGGGTTCGACACCATACGCTGGGCACGGGCGCGCATCGGCTTCGAGGGCGAAGCCTTCCAAACCGGGGGAGAATGGTGTAGATTAGGATTGTTATTATTATTATTATTATTATTATTATTATTATTATTATTATTATTATTATTTAATGGCTTGGTGGACAAGTTAATATTTAGGGTTAGGAGCCTTATATAAAGGACTCCCTCAAGTTTATTTTCCTTGGTCGTTTATGAATGAAAATATGAATTATATCCTGTTTAGATGTTCTTGAGATTGAGATCTCATTAATATCGTCCCACTCGTACGCTTTCCCTACATCAAAAGGTCACATGCTGGGCCACATCTGTGATGTGTGACCAGGGAGGAAGGGCGATATGTGCTGAGGGAAATCCATGAGGGGTGCTGTAGTGATCATAGCAAAGTAGGTTCCTTGGTGGCAAAAATTCTAAGAGCAAGATATTTTTGGCCAACGATGAGAGAAGATTCGAAAACAATGGTAAGAAGGTGTTTGCAGTGCCAGAAGCATGGCCCGCTCATTCATCAACCAGCCGAGGCAATGACGACCATGAGCGCTCCCATCCCATTCGCCCAA